TACTAACATGACAGACATGCAAACTATTGCACCACATATCATAAACCCAAGAATGAATGTTACATCAAATATTTTTTTGCCAAATTTGTAAATATTTTGATGGAATAAAAACCTCAAAGGTTACATCTAACAAATTTAATGTAGCAAGAAGCCTTTCAAATGGAAAGCATAGTTTAGTACTAACAGCAAAAGTATCATGAAGTGATGTAATTGTTAATTTAAGCTTATATCTGGCAAATTTAGTATATTGAGAATCTCTTCTGCTGGAAACTGCTCACTGCCTTGCTGTCAATTCATATCTATATCATCATATAGACTGAAGCATTTGGAGGGTGCAAGCATCATTAAGTTGTTCCAAGAAATCCTTCATCTCACTGCACATCTGATGTACAACTTCACTCTTCACTGTGATATGTAGGACATTGGTCCAATTTCTCTTCTGCATGTTTTCACACTATGGCACATAAGCTGCTGTAGCATCTTCATTACTGTAAAACTTGTGCATGGCTCTGAGACAGGTTGACCCATCACCAGAATGACTCTGTCAAATCAAATCAAACATTCTCACAAATCCCAAGGTCACTTTCCTGGAGATGAATGCAGCTGGACAAGTCATACACCTCCTAATATGGGAAGCTCTATTTTGGCCATTCTGATTTTCCTTCATCATATGCTGATTAGGTAAAGTTTCATTTGCAGTAAGAAGCATCTTTACACCATTAACACATATAGTCATCACAGCAGCTCGACGACAGATTATAGCTACCTTTCACACTATGTGGCTATCCAAATATGTTTATACCGTGGTTACAGCATAGAGGCTTTATGCATAAAAGGTCCTAATACCTTTCAACAGATATCATATTTACTTCTTACTCAACATACAATTAAGAAATGCTACTTCCATGATGCAGTCTTTCATGTAACACTATTCATGTGGTCAAGAAATTCTGTCATTGTAGAACATGACGGTCATCATATTCACAAAAGCTACCATCTGGATTCTATACTGAGCCTGTTCAATCCAATTGATAACCTTCACATCTTTAAGATTAATTTCATCATCCCATGTATGCTAGGAGCCTGCATCACTCAGTCGGTATTGTGACTGATGACAGGCTAGTGAAGGCAAATTAGAAGACTTAAAGAGTGCTGCAGTGAAATGTCAAGTGCATAAATTAGCAAGACTGTCATAACTACTTGTAATTACTATTTATAAGACTTCAATAAATTCAATTACTAATCCAAACTCCATGTCTAGTAATTAAAATCATGACAGTATTAGCCTCCCATGTACACTAGGAACTAGGGTTTGATACCAGGCAGGAACTGAGCTAGAGCATGAAGCTCACCATTTACTTCCATTTAGTGTGCCGAGGCTAAGCTATACCTCCAATGCCTATGTCCTTATGGTGTGGTGCTTATCAGATGAGCACAGGGACAACTTCACCTTTACTTTCCTCCCATTTGCACTAGGTTGCCATGTGGGTTTCCAACAAACTTTGGCAGGTAGTTCCTCATGCATGCAATGTATGTCTAAATCATCCTTAATTTAATAATCCCAATGATATACAGACAAGATAAAAATTATGCATGTCATTATTATTTGACTTGCTCCAGTTCCTTTTTTTGCATGTGTTTGTCCTAAAACAATTCTAGTCTCTGTTCTATCAGCATAAGGCAAAGTTTCACATAAAACTCGTTCTTGTATTGAGATTTTGTACTGCATTCTGCTGAGTAGGAATGAACATTCATTTATTTATGCATTCATGTTTCTGCATAATCAATTATCATCAGCACAGACCACAGGAGTTATTACTCATCATGAAAAGTTTGTTTCTTAATTACTTCATTGAATGTGGAGTATTGGATACAATTTATGGCTCAGTGTTTGAACACATTCTACAAAGCTTTGTACTGTACTGGAAAATGTGATAAATAAAAGAGTATGTGGTTAGAATACTGCTTCCCTTTGCGGAATTACTATAATTGTAACAAAACTCTTCAACTGCTGTATGGGATAACTGTGTCCAATATGACATACAGAATATTAATTTGATTTCAAAATACTGTACATATGGATTTTAGAGTGCCTTCATATCATTCACACATACTTACTGCCATCTTCTCAGGAAAGTATTAAGACAGCATGTTTAAAGGTTAATATTTGATACTATATGACGGGCTACTCTGTTGTGTAAATGTCCGATCTGACAGAGAGATGGATTACAACGCGACTCAAAATCATATTATAATATCATAAAAAAACAACAAAGGATCCTAAAGAAAAAACTGAATTCTCCCAGAAATATTCTTAAAATTCGACTATACCAACAGCAAATTTCACATTTTAACAATGTAGGAAATTACCATTTCTTAGTAATTGTAGTTACGACCTTTAGGTTGTTAATAAAACCAATTACCAATCTGAACGGCATCTCAGTGACCTAAACACGTTATAACACATTGAGGTTCTTACTACACACCTTAAAACTCCATGGAAGAGTGCTTTCCTTCGCTAAGCTGATTACTTAATAATTGTGTCAGTACTGAGTCTATACAATGTCGACAGAATTATTTATGAATTTTGATCGGTTGATGGAATACAGATTGCCATGAGAAACTGAAGTATTTGGAGAAAATCAGCTCTAGTAACATGTTGTCCACCATAAATCCCACACGATCTGACCTAGAATTGAACCTGGGTCACCAACTTTTGAAAGTAGTAATTGACCACCTGAGCTATGGTACACCCGAGTCCTTTTTGAGAAGCCAGTAGTAAATCATCTAGTGAAAACATTCTCCACATTTCATGAAACCGAGAATTCATTAATACCTTCACCCGAGCCAGGTGAATCCACTGCGTACTCTCACACACCGTTTCTTTAAGACCCATTTCAATATTATATATAATTGTCTCGTCTATAGCCAGGTCTCTCAAGTGGTCTCTTTGCTTTACAGTTTCCAACTACATTTCTGTAAACATTTCATATCTCTCTTGTGCGTGTTACGCATCTGGTTCAGTACTCGAACTGGGAAACAGACACATACAGACAGCATGGAGATCTGATAGGCCTCACCCCCCCCAAGAAAGGAAGCAGGCTTAATAATGAATAACCCAGTAGGCCTATAATGACAATTACCTGAAGACTAGAGTACGGGGAGCTCCTGAAACGTCCAACTTATTTAATACGTACCTGAATGGAGATCTAATATAGCAGTGATACAATATATCAGCTATCGTCACAAACAGTTAGTGAGTCGTTAACATTTGCTTTCAGCAAATGACCCCTCGTGTGTTCGAAAGCATAACCAGAATCCAGAGGTGAATTGACATTTTGATGCAAATATGTCAAGGGTAATACCACACAGAAAGGAGAAGGTTCACAGCTGACCATTTTTATGTGCATTATTAGTTGGAGTTGGCATTAAAACTTGGTCTCAATGCATCATTTGACAAGTAGGACTGGAAAATAATAGATGAGAAAGTAGAGGAATGTAACAGCACAAAAACTTATATTACTGATGATGAGACTTAGAGAGTATTGAGGCAAATCACTTACCAGGATATTCTTTTTCGTGTTTGGCCTCTTGGTGCTGTGCCAATTTCTCAAATTTCTCTCTCTTTTGGGGCACCAGAGACCCCCACAGGCACCAAGTCTGCAAATCATGAAAGGAAACACTTGTAAAACAAGTCAGATTCTACAAGGTTGTGAGGGTTGGTGCAAGAAAATCTTCACTGAGACTATGGAAAGAAATCACACAGATGGTAGGGATGATGGCTGCACAGTGCAGTGAAGTGAAGTAATCTGCTGCTGGCCCTTGCCACCAGAATTATTCTCATTACTCATGACCAAATATCTGTTTGTTCCAAGACTTGGCCCCCCTTCGACAGTGCTCAAACTTTCCCCATTTATCCCCCTGTAGCTAGTGAAAGTCATCATAGCATTATTACTGATAACATTCTTGTGAACAGAGTGTTGAAGAAGAGTATGGGTAATTCTGGTGGAAATGGAAGTGTAGCAGCTCAAAGGAGATGAGAAGAGGGCCTACCCATGGGACTTCATTCCACAGTGCCAATAGGCCTACAGACTCCCATCTATTATAGGAATGAGGTATCGTCATCATCAGTTAATGACATAGACCATTATGTCATCATTAGGAAGTCCACAGCTCCCTCATATTCAATTTGAGAAAAATTTGGTTCATTCTAGAAAACTCTACGTACTTCACCACACTACTTAAGCATGAGGGGGAGAAAAAACACACAGTATGGTTTTAACAGTTTATTAATATGTCCTGTTATTGACATTTTTCCAAAGGGATAAAAGTTAGAAGCTTGAATAACTGGCTTCAGTGTTGAAGACTGTATCAAGAGTTATCGAAGTGCATGTGTGTAATCAGAATGACTTTCACCAGTGCTGAATGTTATGTACCAGCACTATGCACTGATGTTGTTTACATATAAACTAAACAGCATATTCACAACGCATCTGTTTACAATAAATTTATCATATAAAAACACGTATTCTATATGTAAAACCAACAAACTTTAACTAGAATTTTCTACTGCTTCACAACTAATTAAAATATTATGCAGGAAATGAGTTTAACTTAATTCTTTTATTATGATGGTACATATGGCATCACACATAAAAAACAACTGCAACCATACTAGCACTTATAAATACTATGGTATCATGAACAGCTCTGCAAAAAAATCAAGATTATTCAAAGTAACATGGCTTTCTTGAGTTTGTTATGAACATCCAACATGTTGTTCAAACAACTACACGCAACATTCTCCCACATGCACTGTTTTCACTTGTATACTTGCCCTTCCCCCTTCCTTCTCTGCTCACACATAGCTGTGTATATTTCCAACACCAGTCTGCTTTTACCGGTTCTCACGGTCCCTTCGCTTGCAGGTTTCTTATATTTTTCTTCTACCCTGAAGATGGAGGCGATACGTTCCTCCGAAACGTCGGTTAACACCACATATACACGGTGCCAAATCCCAGAAGACTGCTTTCTTCATAGTCACCGCCGTGAAAGCTTCAAATCTTACATCAGGAACATTACTTGTCATACTTCTAGGCTCAACAGTGTCTGTCAAAAACCATATTTGGTTGAAAAAAGGCCACTTAGGTTCATGTGATGTGTCTCCACCACTTCCAGATCGTTTGTCACTACATTTCTTTAATTCCTTCCGGAACGTGTCGCGCAGTCCCCTCCATCTCTTCTTAATGTCCTCAACTGAAATAGCACCATTGTACATTTTAAAAAGTAATATTCGAACATCTCAATAAATGCATGATAGTATTGTCCAATAAGTTATAACACTGCAATAAGGGCTTTATTTTTTTCAGGTACTATATCGGCTTTCAAAACGTTGGGTAACTCTTTTCGTATGTCAGATGTAACCGTGGGAAGAATTAGTCATGAAACATGTAATGTGATATGGGAATTAATACGCAATGACCATATGCCATTCCCTTCTGAAGGACAAGTAGATCACATAGCAGCCGAATTTTATCGGAAATGGAGATTTACAAATTGCGTCGGCAGCATAGACGGAAACCACATTAGAATCAAATGCCCAAAACAATCTGGTAATATGTATTGCAGCTATAAGAAATANTTGCATTTGCTTGTTACACAATATAATAACAGACAAAGAAGGAGTGACAGATTTACAACCTACTACAGTTGAACCAAGTAACCCTCACTTAAATAGATTTGCTACCAGAGGTGAAAATAGAAGTACTGCTAGGGCCTATGATGTAAGAGATACTTTCAAAATGTATTTTGTAAACAATCCTTGAAATATACCTGGCTCGTTCATTTCCTTCAAAACCTCGCTCCATAACCTATTCTGCACATTTCGCATGTGATAATTAGCCTCTCGTTGATCCCATAAATACTTTCTTTCTTGCACTAAGAGTATCAAGTTTTCAACATCCATTTTAAATGATCGCAGCTCTTCGTCCGAAAAACCCAAACCAATCTGGATATTTCGCAGTTCGCAAGTATACGCGCGTTCACGGACGAATAGTGCTGCTACCAATGGACGCACTCTAACCTGATGCAAGCTGTTAGGATCGTTCGGCCGTTTCCGTGCATGTTCGGATGAACTCCTCATCGCAACTTTCCGCAGCTTTCTGCTTCCAATGGACGGAGGCCTTATGCCAACCGTTTTCAAAGCAAATTACTATTCCTCAGTTGCCCCTCTTTAATACATTGAAATGTTACAAACCCTAAATTTAGCAGATTACATATCTAAATTTAATTGTAAAGATCTATTTTTGCTTTACAAAAATTACCTGCATGTTAATAAAATAATGATGGAAAGACACGACTCTTTTCTGTTTCCAACAGGAAAATACAGCACATGATGTAAACATACTAAAATAGTTTAGTATCTAATTATCATAGTTCACAATTTACTTGATTTGAATTAATGATCTAGTTGAAAATAAAACTGACAGTTAAGACCGCTTCATTTTCAAATATCTAGCTAAATGTATGGCATTCAGTGATTTGAATTTTCAATATAATGTCCTCATTGGTATTGCAATCATGAATCTGATAATTTTGTTGCTTCTGTATCTCCCATATCTGAACTAGAAGGTTTAATCTTTAATGGCTTATCACATGCTTCATCTTCAGTGCTTTGTGGCTCACCAGGTTCTGACACTTGTGCCAGATCTGTTGCTGCATCTACAAAATAACAAAAGACATAACATCAATTTCTTTTTTAAGTTTGTTATTGAATAATGCCGTCAGCATAAAAATACAGTGGAACCTCATTTAACTAGTACCTCTCATAATGAGAAATTTGCATAATGAGCAAAACAAATTGTAAAAAAATGACTCGCTTAATGAGCGACGTTTCGCATAACGAGCGACGAGAGGGGAAGTCCCAGATTGTGCGCTTGCTACATCAGTCTGTGTTTAGCACTCGTTCCGCTAGCATCTTAGTGTCGCTTGTGATCACACATTTTTCCAAACTTGTGTTCAGACATTATTTGTGATTTTTTTTGTGCAAAGTTTAATAACCCTTGCAAAAACGTCCCTGGAAAAAAAGCCGCAAAAAGACAGCCATTAGAGAATAAAAATAACCGTAGAAATGAACCGTAAAATCATTGAAAAGCGAGAATGAGGTGTGAGCGTGGCTGATCTAGCACACACATACAATCGGTCTACATCAACGATTTGCACTATCCTCAAGAACAAGGACAAGACTAAGGAGATAGATGCTTCAAAGGGAGTGACAAGAATATCTACGCAATGGTTACGTATTCTCGACGATGTTGAAAGGTTGCTCCTCATATGGATAAACGAAAAGCAATTGCAAGGCAACACTATTAACAAGAAGGCAAAAGTGATTTTCGCCAACCTCGTTAAGAAGACCCCACTTAAAACAAC